AAAATATAAATATGCGAAGTACCCAAAGAACCTAGTACAGCGAATGGGAAATTTTGCCCAAAGACCTTAAAAATACTATTTTATGTTTATATGTACATAGATACGTAAATATGTTTGTATGTATATATGTATGAGCGGTTATATAAAGGTATATGAGCAAATCTCACGGGTTAGTTTTTTTAGGGTCACTCGCTTCTCTCCCCCCAAAGAAAAACCCTAAGGCGTTCTTCTTGTATTTATTTAAATCAATGGAGTTCCTGAAACAAGTGTGTACAATAAAAAATAAATCAAGTAAAACGTTTATTTAGGCGAAAAGTCGTAGTAGGTTTTTTTTAATAACTTTGGGAAGTTTTCAAATAGAATATTCATATTAGAGGCAATGTACGCTGGCATCAAGTACAACATATCTGTGAAGTTTAAAGAGTGTGCCACCTATTAAAAAAAAAATTACAGCATGCAGGATATCTGTCGCAGCTATTTTGTAATCTTTGAGCTTTTACGTTTTTATTTTTTAATTTTAATTTAATTTAAGATACTTCAAAGCAAAAGATAACTACAACTCCATTTTTTTAATTTTTCAATTTTATTGGCATACTCGAAATTCATTCTAAAATTATTATGTACATAAAGAAACCAATATATATGTATGTATGACCATAAGGAATACTGTGTAAAAATCTTCCACGCACATATTTATTAGTTGACTTTTAAGTTAAGGCGTGCGAGTAAATGTGTCAGCTGACTGTGCATCGTGCTACGGGGCGTATACGTTGCACACACAACTACAGGTATATGAGCACGAGTTGTTATTTTGACTTTTTCTAGTATATCTTTTTTAAGTTTTTATTTAAGTAGAATTTCGCGATGGAATTTTGTTCCTTATGCACAACTGAAGATAATGCATTGTTGTAGATAAGTGTGCCACCAATTTCGACCATAAACACGTTCTTGTCGAAAAATGTAACCATTCTTGAGATTTGCTCATATATGTATGTATTTACATTGGGGTTGCGAATACGATAGCAATTTAGCAGGAAAATTAGTACAAAACTAAAGCATTAAGGAAAGCATTACAATTTCAGCAGCGTTTGAAATAGCCCAAAAAATTTCGCTAGTCGCGAGGCAGCAAACTTACCTTAGTGATTAATGTATTAAGCTTGATTACACGCTCGCTATTAGAGCGTGATAATTTTCTATTTAAACGCTCTTGAGCAGCTGGATCATGCGGAGCGTTATTAATCTCTTGTAGTTCAACATCGCTAACAGCCTTAGCGGCGATGTTGCTTGAGTGCAATGCTTCTTGGTTGCTCGGCATCTTTTTCCGAGTCGAGTGGGTTTGTTGTTTAGGTTGAGGGTTGTTTTTTTTTTTGGGGTAAGGGATTTTCGTGGGTGGTTAAATGAACAGGGAGGATTTTTTGTTGGCAAATAGCAGTGCGCATTGTTGTAGCGTAAGTGCAGCGGATTACAATTAAACAGGAAATTATTTCAAAAACAAATAAGGTTACATGTTATAATTATAATAAAAATAAAATAATAATATAAAAACTAATTCATATTTGGGGAAAAGTGTTTTAACAAATTGTATAAGCTCATATTTGTTATCGGTTACTAGTTTTCTACATAAAATACTACAGTTTCTCTAGTACACATATGCTCTAAAGAAAGCGTTAACATTTTCTTCTTTCTTTTTCATGAAAAAGTTTCCCCAGCTTCTTAGATCAGAACCTACCTGATCCAGCAAATCTTCCAGTTTTGCGCGCACAATAAGCTCGCGTTCGGGTATGGCTTGAATGGCAGTCTCCAGCGGTGAGCTGGGGCGACTGATGGAAGCAGTGGCAGCTTCACAGGCCTGTACAGCAGCTGCTAGACGCGACTTTTCGTTGTTCAGCTTGTTTTGCAGATCCTAAGTCGGGGAATAGAAATGGGAAGAGAATTCAATGATTAAAATAAATTTTTATTTTTTGCATCATACTTAACTAATAATTTTTGTATAACTATATTTTTGGTTGAATTTAATCGATATTTTATGTTATTTTTTTCTGTTTTTTTTTTTTAATTTTTCATATTATATGAATGGATTAAAATAAACTCAAAGCGCATAAAAATGCCATCGAAAATTGGTAATCCCTATATGGTAGTAAATTATATAATATTGGACCGTACCGGAAAAAAAGTTCGCCCGATGATATCGATTTTCTTGTCCTGAGGGGATATTTTTTTTTTGTTCCAACATGCATTGACCTCAAGTTTCTGTTCTACTGCTTACCCATAAGATCCCAATTTCTACCACCCTAACGTACCACCCTCATGCCAGTAAATTAAAGCCCTTCGAAAATCATTTTGCTAAGGAAGTATTTCGATTCGAAGGCAATTTCGATTGTTTTCTTTTTTGTCGAAAGCAGGGTTCGTCTTTTTTCAGTTTTTGTCATACATATCTTCGGCATTTACAGTGGGATCTTACAGTATGACATATCGATTTGCTTCTCACGAGGATACATTTTTTTGAGTCAAAATTCATTGACCTCGAGCACCACGTTCTACTACTAAATAACCAGACTCCAGTTCCTCCCACAATGACGTACTACCCTAATGTCAATAAATTAAAGCTCACCAAAAATCATTAAACTTTTGCAAAGCATGTACGTATTTGGAATATTCCAGTAGAACTATTTCAAAATAAATAATATAAAAAAAACTTTTTAATATACAACGCTTTTATAAATGGACTAAAAAGTAGAAAATAATACTTCTCAGTCCCATAGAATTTGTTTTGATAACTTTTGATTTTTAAATTTTAGCAAAAGTCATTATAAACAATCTATGAAATTGAAAATGAAAAACGTGGAGCGCATGCAATACAAAGCATTCGATTTAATTGACAATAGTCAAACTACATAACGTAGACCTAAAATTTCTACAGCGAAAGTAGAACTTTGAAATCGATTTTAAGCGGTCGTTATTCATATACCCACATACATACATACATATATTACTTTTCATATCAATTCAAGTGTATTACATGCGCCCCACGCTTTTCATTTTCAATTTCATAGATTATTTATAATGACTTTTGCTAAAATTTCAAAATCAAAAGTTAGTAAAACAAATTCTATGGGACTGAGAAATATTATTTTCTACTTTTTAGTCCATTTATAAAAGCGTTGTATATTAAAAAGTTTTTTTTATTATTATTTATTTTCTACTTTTTAGTCCTGCCTGAATAAAAGTTTGCAATAGATATTAAAATAATTCAACGATATTAATAGAAAGGTGCACACACATGCATTTACATATGTATGTACATACAAACGAGCACGAATTAATTTTATTTAAAGATATGGCGTGTCGTCTATTTCCGCCGATATGCGTGTATAAACCAGGGTTCGGAAATTCTCACTCTCATTCTCTCACGTTCGTGATCGATAATATTCCAAGTCTATTTTTGCATTCTTTTATCGCGAGTGAAAAATGCAAACAAATTTATCATCTCTCACATTCGGAATGCGATCGACAAAAAAATTTTCGCTGCTTTTCATTCGCGATCGAAAAAAGCAAAGAAATTTCCTCTCACTCGAATATGAGAAGTCCGAGCATTGCCGATGTCGGCCTCTCATAAATAAGAAAAACGATGCAAATAATCCATTCGCGATCACTCACAACAGCTTATCGCGATAAACTTTTCGCGAAAAATTTTCAACGACGTTGTATGGGAGATATTTTTCGCGTTTGTTTTGGGTATGCATTTTGTTATGCATACAGCGTACATACATATGTACATATGTATATGTAAGTAATGCAAGCAAATGCTTTTCAGTTGGAAGGAATGTGGGAATATGCACAAATATATGAATTATGGTGGAAACATATATGTATGTATCTACATATACATAAATTACGTACATGCATACGTGTAGTTAAAGTATATTCCAAGCGTACACTTTTCAGTATAATGGTGTATCTGCATGTTATTTTATTATAATGATTGCGTTTATTTTTAACCGACTTCCAAAAAAGGAGGAGGTTATCAGTTCGTCGGAATCTTGTTTTTTTTTTTATGTATGTTACCGCATAACTTTGGACCACGTCAACCGATTTCGATAATTCTTTTTGCAT